AAAATTGACTTTGATCTGAAGTACCAAAGCTGCTTGATTTAAATAAGTGCAGGCGAACAAAACTAAATGTTCATGAGTAGGATGGGTGGAGCTGCAAATAATTGGGCTGCAGAAGCAGATGTGCTCCTTATAGTGTAGTTGAAAGGTATGTTCCTGTACAGCATGTTGAAACTTGGATATTGATCTTTTTATTTGTTTCTCTGCTGCCATTATAAATTGTGACTGTACTGAAAATACTAGTAGGCATGGGAAATATAAGAATGAATCACTGTGACCCATGAAAGTGGATCAAAGGGCAATTGTTAACGGTTTTCTTTAATGAATCCAGTATTTTATGCAGTGGGTGGATTTGCCTAGTTTGTATGATAGTGCTGTTGGATGAAAAAACACAGTGCCAAAGAAAAAACAAAAATAACTGAAGGTTCTTGTATATAACCCCTCCTTTAATTCTTTAATTCTAAGAATATTGAGGCATTTGTGCAAGCACAATTAGTGAATTGAGTAGGTAAATAAATAAACAAATTAGGTTGAAACAAAACAAAATTCAAAAAAGAAATGTAGCAGTTTGGTTCATAGATAGACTTTCAGTGTGTGAAGCCGTTCCTGGTCTGATGTGATTATTGAGTATTGGAACCCAGTTACAATTTCAAGTGGCATTCGTTCAAATATAGTTTAATGGAATTGTTGACACAATTGTCCCATTTAGTTGCTACTTCAGATAGCAAATTGCACAGTCTCAGAATTTGGGAAAAATATTGTCTTTGTTCTGCAACATCCAGAATCCTTCATGCAGTGTTGTCATTGTTGGTTGGTGGGTTCTGGGTGCTGTTGCCTCAAAAGTAACTTTCTCAAGCTCTGGGCATTCTCAACTGTTTCAGGAATAATGTTTCATTGGCATGAATAAAACTGCTGCTATTGCAAGAAAAGTCATTTGGCATAATTGTGAATTATGTGACAAAAGAACAAAGGGAATCAGAAAGCTAAGCGTACAGGGAGTAAGAGACTAGAGCTGTGTGAAAGGAAACTGAATAAAATAATAAAAAGGAAAGAAAAAGCTAGAGCTGAATTGTGTGCTTTCTTATCCATAAAAAGCAGACAGGTTTATTAAGAAGTTGCATTCAAAAAGTTGCAGAGATCTCCAAGTAGGTGTCCTTATGGCTGAGGCAAGTAGGTTAGCACACTGTTTTACTTTGATCAGGTAGTTTGGTTGTTCTGTTGGTCTGTTGACACACACAGTCCCAGGATATGGATCATGTTCTTGCATTGTTAAGGTAACCAGGCAAATGCCTCAAATCAGGTCATCCTGCCCTGCACTGGTTCCACTTGGAGCATGGCTTAGTCAACGAACAGGGCCATATATGTTCTCTTTTCTTGCCCAAAAGATGGACCTGCTTTGGCATAGTATGGCAAGACCAAAGCCTTGGGGGCCAAACAAGAGACCATTCTAATAGTATTGTTATCAACCAGATATGTGTTGCTGAGGCCACACTGAAAAGAGATATGAGGTTTAACTCTTTATATTCTAGCTGTGTTGACAAATATCTACCCCATGCAGCCATTAAGCATAGAAAGAGAGTTCCCTTTGATGCCAATGAAACAACAACAACAACAACAACAACAACAGGAAAAGATGACACGATATGAGGATTTAAAGATTGAATTGCAAAGACTCTGGCACAAACCTGTAAAGGTGGTCCCAGTGGTGATCGGCATGCTGGGTGCAGTGCCTAAAGACCTTGGCCTGCACTTAAACACAATCAGCGTTGACAAGATTACCATCTGCCAGCTGCAAAAGGCTACCTTATTGGGATCTGCACGCATTATTCGCCGATACATCACACAGTCCTAGACATTTGGGAAGTGTCCGACGTGTGATCCAATACAACAGCCAGCAGAGTGTCTGCTGTGGACTCATCTTGTTGTGTAATAATAATAACTTTATTTTTGTACCCTGTCTCCATCTCCCCAATGGGACTCGGGGCGGTTTACATATGGCACAAAGTACCTAAAACTACCCATAAAATAAACACAGTACAATACAAAAACAAAACAAATAGCATATAAAACAATTTAAACTCAGGGCAGTGCCCAATAACCTATGGTGAGAACTGTTGCAAAACATGGCCAACTGTAAGCAAGAACAAGGGAATGGGATAGTGCAAGTTGTAGCTAAGGAACAAGGGCATGGGATGAAAGTGCAGTGCTGTATCATTAATTGCAGACTGCTGGGCTAGACATTCTCAAAGCCTTGTCTAAACATCCAAGTCTTCAATTCCCTACAGAAGGAGGACGGTGTGGAGGTCTGCCTAATCTCCCTGGGGAGGGCGTTCCAAAGCTTGGGGGGCACCACTGAGAAGGTCCCTCTCCCTTGTCCCCACCAACCGTGAAAGGTATATTGTCAAGTTTAGAAATGAATCTGAAAATGATAGTTTGAACTAGTCATGGTTAATATAAGATATTGGTGTTTATTATAATGTCATTATAATATCATAATGGAGCTTCCCTAAGTGAAAGGTGGTGTCAGTAATGGAAACACTGGCAGTTCATGTTGATGGGACTTTGAATAAGATGGTTGTGAGGCCATAGTCAATATACCTCAGATTGGCTCTATAAGAAATCCAATTATAACAAATGACCAACAAACAGACTGACTTTTAAAAATATATGACTCAGATGACTTTTTAATAGCCAGTTATGTTCTTAGGCTAGTTTGGATACAATGCATATTCTTTTCTTACAAAAAAAAAAAAAAAAAAAGCGGGGGGGAGAAAAACATAAAAGAGATTTTTCCTTTTGCTTTGGTAATTTCTAAAGGCAATTATCTTCAGAAAACCTGCCAACTTCCATAAAAGGCTCATAGCAGAAATGTTGTGTAAAATGTAAGTGTCATATCTCATTATAGTTCTAACCCCTCATCTGTTAGTGTAGCATTCAGCAGCCTAAAAAGTTCAAATATAAAAAGTATTTCCTGTTTGATTTATATGCATATTCACTTTGAGGGTTATTCTGCTGACAGTCTTATTTAACAACTCATTCTAAAGAGTTTTTAATTTTTTTTATTTTAAATGTTATATGCCAATTTATAATTGCAACTGTAATTGTGTAAATCAATACATTCTACAGTAAAATGGTTTCTCGAACAGTTTGTCCCATGGGTTGTGCATTCCATATCTCTCTCCTATTGTTTTAGTTAAGGCAATTATTTTTATAAAGCATCCTATTTGCCTCCTGATGAGCAATTAGGTGTTGGTGGCTAACAAAGAGGTAGTAGATCCTGCCTTTGGTGGGCATGCACTTGCTCATTGCTCCCTGCAAAATCTTTTATTGGATCCCACAACTTATTTCAAAATTCAGGAGGCTTTGTTAGTTGTGAATCTATATTTTAACACAAATATTACTTTGTTATAATTTTAGCTGATGCTACATAACCTACTTTTCTAACAATGTAGTTAAAAGGTTTCTGTGCTACTTTAAGTTATTTTTATTATTTGGTTTTACAGTTCTGAATGGTAAAAGTAGAGTAAGAGAACCTGGATTCAAAAATAGTTGAACTAGATTGAATGTAAACTTTCTTTTGCCTATCAGCCCATTAAATGATTGCCCCCCCCCCAAATATATGCTCCTAGTGTAATGCCAGCTGGCCAAATTGTGTGAGACTAGGATGTATCCATGCAGACCTTGACCCAGGGCTAATGTAGATGGAGTACTCTGGATCATCCTGGGCAGAGTGGAAGGAAGCTAATGGCCTAGCACAATAATGTCTTGGTCATGAGAAGGAGTCCACACCTTCCAGCAGTGCTGAACCTGGCCACTGACCACCCATTCCTACCATCGCTGACTCGTTACTGTCCGAGCAATGAGCAGGAGCAGTTTTGCGCTCCATGATCACCACTATAATAACAACAAGGCAGCAATAATAGGTTGTTCCCTGTCCCTATTCTGCCCAAGTCCTGGGAAAGGAAGATAGCTGTATAAAACAGCAACAACTGACTCCAAATTGCAACAAGCCCAACTTTTCATGTGTTCCTAAAGTATGGGGAAGTTCCTGGGCATTCCCTGACTTTAACTAACTCTGATCAAGACTGTGCCAAGTTGTTTTTCCCAGTGTGTAGGGTGAATCGGCTGTGTGTGTCACCTCTTCCCTGTTTTATTTGGCCCATGTAGGTGGGCTCTCTTGTCATCAAATTTGAGCAATGCTGAGTGGGAAAGTTGGAAACAATACATTGACAACAGATCCAAGCATTTTTTTTTTTGTAGATAAGGAACTCTCCAAGATTTTATTATTTAGTATTTGAATTGCTGGGAATGTTTCTGAAGAAAACTGTTGTGTGTGTATGTGTGTGTGTGTGTGCGTGCGTGCATGCATGTGTGTGGGCATCATTTGATGTTTTGATGTGGGTGGCTTCTCTCATGTCCACGCATGGGGAGCTGGAGCTGACAGAGGGAGCTCAACCTGTTCTCCCTGGATTCAAACCACTGACTCATTGCACCACTGGGGGGGTCCTGTTTATATATTAACAACATCAAAAGAAATACATTATTCCATGCAGAAAAATACTAATAGCAGGAGTTTATAATTCCCTTAGTAATGTCCAACAAGAATGATCTCTTCATTATAGGTAAAGTTTTCCCCTGACATTAAGTCTAGTCATGTCTGGCTCTGGGACTGGGGGTGGCGCTCATCTCCATTTCTAAGCCAAAGAGCCAACGTTGTCCTTAGACACCACCAAGGTCATGTGGCCAGCATGACTGCATTACCTTTCCACAGAAGATCCATTGATCTACTTGCATTTGCATGTTTTTGACCTGCTAGGTTGGCAGAAGCTGGGGCTAACAAGCAGAAGCTCACCCCGCTCCCCAGATATGAACTGCCAACCTTTTGGTTAGCAAGTTCAGCAACTCAGTGGTTTAACCCGCTTTGCCACCAGGGGGGCTGCACTATATATGCTTTATAGTCAAGTTAAATGACAACAAGTAATGATAATGCATTTCTCTTGCAGATTGTCTCAAGAAGGATTTCAAATCCCTATCTGGAAAATCCTCCCAGCAAGGTATATATATATATATATTTTAAAAATCGACCCCATCCTGTAACTTCTGTTTTTTGTCTTCATCATTTTGTGCTATTTTCTAAATGCTCCCTGAAGCAGAGAACATTTATTTGTGTTTGAACTTACCGCAGTCATGTGGGTGAAGATATTCTAAAGTAAAAAGGTTGCAGTTTTTCCGATAGGAAATTCCATATTTAGATACGAAAAAGCTCAGCAAAATCATGCTGATACTTGCAAGCTGTGTTCTTGTAATTTTTATGTTGTACTAATGCTATAGCCTTGTATGCTTGAATAATTTATTGTTTGCCCAATTTGTCTTTTTTCCTTTAGATTTATGGAGAGGGTGCATCATGTGCTGCGAGAGCTCTCAGAAATGTTTTTGTTCTACAAGCTTCTGATCTGGTGAAAGACAGGATGTCTCTCATGGGGCTTTGCAGGTAACCATGTTCGCCTTGTTTTAGCAAAACTGTGCCTTTCTATTTGCATTCTTCCTTCCCTCATGTTGATGAGTAGGTTGGCTACCATGTGTTTCAGAGGTAGCAAATTTCTTTCTGGAGAGCAAAGAACAGCAAATAGGTCCAGAATCACTGGGTTGCTGTGAGTTTTCTGGATTGTATGGCCATATTCCTAGCGAATATACACTAACATTCCTAGCGAATATACAGTGGAAGTGAAGAACAGATTTGAAGGACTAGATTTAGTAAACAGAGTCCCAGAAGAACTATGGACAGAGGTCCGAGACATTGTTCAGGAGGCGGCAACAAAGTACGTCCCAAAGAAAAAGAAAACCAAGAAGGCAAAATGGTTGTCTGCTGAGACACTGGAAGTAGCCCAAGAAAGGAGGAAAGCAAAAGGAAACAGGGATAAGGGGAGATATGCCCAGTTAAATGCGCAATTCCAGAGTTAGCCAGAAGAGATAAGGAACTATTTTTAAATAAGCAATGCATGGAAGTTGAAGAAGACAACAGAATAGGAAGGACAAGAGACCTCTTCCAGAAAATTAGAAACATTGGAGGTAAATTTCAGGCAAAAATTGATATGATAAGAAACAAAGATGGCAGGGACCTAACAGAAGCTGAAGAGATCAAGAGAAGGTGGCGAGACTATACAGAAGATCTGTATAGGAAGGATAATAATATTGAGGATAGTTTTGACGGTGTGGTGAATGAATTAGAACCAGACATCCTGAGGAGTGAGGTTGAATGGGCCTTAAGAAGCATTGCTAACAACAAGGCAGCGGGAGATGACGGGATCCCAGCTGAACTGTTTAAAATCTTGAAAGAGGATGCTGTCAAGGTGATGCATGCCATATGCCAGCAAATATGGAAAACACAAGAATGGCCATCAGACTGGAAAAAATCAACTTATATCCCCATACCAAAAAAGGGAAATGCGAAAGACTGCTCCAACTTCCGTACAGTGGCCCTTATTTCTCATGCCAGTAAGGGAATGCTCAAGATCCTGCAAGGAAGAATCCAGCAATACATGGAGCGAGAGTTGCCAGATGTTCAAGCTGGGTTTAGAAAAGGCAGAGGAACGAGAGACCAGATTGCCAATATCCGCTGGATAATGGAGAAAGGCAGGGAGTTTCAGAAAAACATCTACTTCTGCTTCATTGACTATTCTAAAGCCTTTGACTGTGTGGATCATAATAAATTGTGGCAAGTTCTTAGTGGGATGGGCATCCCAAGTCACCTTGTCTCTCTCCTGAGGAATCTGTACAAGGACCAAGTAGCAACAGTCAGAACTGACCACGGAACAACAGACTGGTTCAAGATTGGGAAAGGCGTACGGCAAGGCTGCATCCTCTCACCCAACCTTTTTAACTTGTATGCAGAACACATCATGCGATGTGCGGGGCTGGATGAATGCAAAGGTGGGGTGAAAATGCTGGAAGAAACATTAACAACCTCAGATATGCAGATGACACCACTCTGATGGCCGAAAGCGAGGAGGAGCTGAGGAGCCTTCTAATCAAGGTGAAAGAAGAAAGCGCAAAAGCCGGGTTGCAGCTAAACGTCAAAAAAAAACAAGATTATGGCAACAAGAATGATTGACAACTGGAAAATAGAGGGAGAAACCGTGGAGGCCGTGACAGACTTTGTATTTCTAGGTGCAAAGATTACTGCAGATGCAGACTGTAGCCAGGAAATCAGAAGACGCTTACTTCTTGGGAGGCGAGCAATGTCCAATCTCGATAAAATAGTAAAGAGTAGAGACATCAGCACTGGCAACAAAGATCCGCATAGTCAAAGCAATGGTATTCCCTGTAGTAACCTACGGATGTGAGAGCTGGACCTTAGGGAAGGCTGAGCGAAGGAAGATAGATGCTTTTGAACTGTGGTGTTGGAGGAAAGTTCTGAGAGTGCCTTGGACTGCGAGAAGATCCAACCAGTCCATCCTCCAGGAAATAAAGCCCGACTGCTCACTGGAGGGAAAGATACTAGAGACAAAGTTGAAGTACTTTGGTAACATCATGAGGAGACAGGAAAGCCTAGAGAAGACAATTATGCTGGGGAAAGTGGAAGGCAAAAGGAAGAGGGGCCGACCAAGGGCAAGGTGGATGGACGGCATCCTTGAAGTGACTGGACTGACCTTGAAGGAGCTGGGGGTGGTGACGGCCGACAGGGAGCTCTGGCGTGGGCTGGTCCATGAGGTCACGAAGAGTCGGAGACGACTGAACGAATGAACAACAACAAATGGCCATATTCCAGAATTATTCTCTCCTGACATTTCGCCCATATCTATGGCAGGCATCCTCAGAGATTGAGGGGTCTGTTGTAAACTAGACAAGTGAGGTTTATATATCTGTGGAATAATGTCCAGGTGGGAGAAAGAACTCTTGTCTGCTTGAGGTAGGTGTGAATGTTGCTATTGGCCACCTTGATTAGCATTTAATATCCTTGTAGCATCAAAGCCTGGCTGGTTGCTGCCAGGGGGTCCTTTGTTGGGAGGTATTAGCTGGCCCTGATTGATTCTTGTCTGGAATTTCCCCGTTCTCTTGATTTTAGAGTTTTTTTTAATACTGGTAGCCAGATTTTGTTCATTTTCATGGTTTCTTCCTTTCTGTTGAAATTATCCACATGTTTGTGGATTTTAATTGCTTCTCTGTGCAGTCTGATATGCATAGTCTGACATGGCAGCAATCAGCCAGCTTTGAAGCTGCAAGGCCATCAAATGCTTCTGGAACATGGCCACACAGCCCAGAAAACTCACAGCAACCTATTTATTCAGAAATTGATCTTGTTTTCTACTTTCCTCTTTCTCATGGCAGTTATTGATATGATCATGCCCATATGGATTTAGTGTTTCTTATTAATTGCATTCATTCTTGGTCTTCTGTCATATTTTTCTGTGCTATAGTATTTATGGAAGTATTTGGTCAAAACCTACGGTCTGGTACAATAAATTATATTGGCTCTAATATGCACATGTGTTTCCAAAAGATAAATACATTGAGTTGATCCTCTCTCCTGTAAAATACCTTGTTAAGATGAAGAAGGGGTTTCTTGCATCAATAAGGGACCTATTACAGGATTTTAGATGTAGTTATTGTATGTTATAGTAATAGCCATTGAAATGAAAAGTGTCCACATGAATCTGCCCTCAGGGAGGCAGTATAGCAGTACATGTGGCTATATGTGTCTTATATGTTTGTATAAATGTTGTTACAATTAATCCTAGTTTATAACATTTTGTGTACTTCACTTGCACAGTGATGTAAACAGATTTAGTTGCAAAGTAAAGAATCTGAGAGCAAAACTATAGATAGATAGCTAACCAACCAAATTAGACTATTTTTTAAATATAGGAAAATGCTTTTAGGTTTTATTTTTCTTTTAATTGTGTATTAGCTGCATTTATAATAGCATGCAGATTGATTGTATTTTTAAGTGGGGGAAAAACCCTCATATTGTGACTTTTCACTTCCATGGACTGAATGAACATGTCCTGACAAATAGAAAAGACTGGCATTTTCTGATTTACTACTTACAGATTTCTTATGTTTTTAAAACACAGGCTATTGTGTGCTTCATTAGAAAGAAAAAAATAATTCATTATTTTGTATGACATATCCTCAAAACAGAGCAGTCCTAGATTAAATATCAATTTCCTCTCCTGAAACCACAGTTCTTTGCAGTTTATAATCCGCCCAGTCTAGTAAAGGAGATTGTGGTTAATGTGTGAAAACTAGAGCTCAAAGCTAGGAGACATTAAACAGTTTGGGGCATAGTGTATGTGTCTGTGTATATGAGAGAGAGAAAGATGAAATAAGTCAAATTATCTATACAGATCAGACAAAAAAGGTAGGTAGAAGGCTAGCCTGGGGGGAATGATTTATACACTTGAGATAATGAGGATCAGGCAAGTATTGAAGGACTGCATGCAAGCTGTTGAACCGCAAGGTTAATCTTGTGCTTGAAACAACGGTATCAGGTTTATACCTTCTCCTTTCTTCACAAATAGCATTGAGACCCAAGTGACTTCTGTATGACAAGGTTTGTCTTCCAGTTATAACTGAGGCACAAGTTACAGCTTGAATAGAAATTGTCTTCCATTGTTGCCCATTTTCTGATAGCCTTCCATTTGGATTGCTATGTACTGCAAGACTTGCCTTTGAAGCATGTTCAAAAGAATTCATAGGGCAGTTGTTTGAAATATATTATCCAGACCATATTTCACCAGTCCTTAGTGGATCACCAAGCACTTGCTGCCAGTTTGCTTTTTGGCAGATGTCTCTTCAGAGTGCTTTAACACTTAAACCAATGAACATCTTAAATTCCAAGTATTTAATGGATACATATGTGTCATCTTTCCTCCATTGGTAAAGTCATCTACCGAGGTCCAATTCTATATCCCTATACCATGTGAGGTGAAACCCAGGGATAGCCCTTTTTTAGCTGTGGTATCCCATAAATGAAAATATTTCTGTAAGGAAATCTGCCTGGCAAAACCATTTTGGGAGCAGGAGTTGGTTTTAGAAATCTTGTGTTGTTGAAGGTTTTCATGGCTGGAATCACTGGATTGCTGTGAGTTTTCTGGGCTATATGGCCATGTTCCAGTAGCATTCTCCCCTGACTTTTCACCCACATCTATGACAAGCATCCTCAGAGGTTGTGAGGTCTGTTGGAAACTAGGCAAGTGAGCTATATCTGTGCAATGTCCAGGGTGGGAGAAATAAGTTTTGTCTGTTTGAGGCAAGTGTGAATGTCACAATTGGCCACCTTGATTAGCATTTAATGGCCTTGTAGCTTCAAAGCCTGGCTGATTGCTGCCTGGGGATCCTTTGTTGGGAGATGTTAGCTGGCCCTGAATGATTCTTGTATGGAATTCACCTGGTTTTTTTTTTCAGTGTTGCTCTTTATTCACTGTCCTGATTTTAGAATTTTTTTTAATACTGGTAGTCAGATTTTTTTCATTTTCATTTTTTTTTTGCATTTTTATATACACTGAATATCTGGTTCTACCTGAGTGTTGTATTTTAAAAAATATTTTGATGAATGACAGAATATAAATATTTTAAATAAATAACCTAGATTGCCTGTTTCTTCCTAAGCCTGCTAATATGCCTTGATGTTGGAATAGCATATTGTGGTCTTTAATGTACCTAGCTTAACTTGCTTCACAGCAAGAATAGTTATCAGAGACTAAATAAGATAGCCTCTGTAAAAATAAAATAAAAATAAAGGGGGGTTATGAAAAACAACATGAGAAAGTAAGTAAAGATTCCCCTTTGGTGAACTTACCTTGAACATGGATGTCATCATAATTATATATTGAATCAATACATCTGTATGTTTTAAACTTTTTCTCACTGCCAGAAAAATTACAAATGTGTTCTGTATCTCCATTAATTTTGAGAGTATTTTTCTGAGGTTTTCATTTTATGTGGTATTCATCATTGCATTTCTGTATATGTTTATTCAAAAGTGTGTACTGAGATTTACTCTCATTTTAAACATGTTTGTGATTAAAAACTCCCTGGTCTTTACTTTTGTCTGTTTTGTTTTGTCAGGCGAAGCTGCATTGGATCTGAACTTGTAGATTGGCTGTTAAAGCACTGTCCTTTCATTAAGGCCAGATCTGCAGCAGCGGGTATTTGGCAGCTCCTGCTGAATATGGGAATTGTGTTATCAGGTTAGTTTTATGAAAATTAAGTCCATTCTGTTTTAGGAAGGTGTATTTAGATTCTTCCGCTCCTACTCCCCCCCCCCCAGATTTTTTTATATTAAAAAGATGGAAATATGTGTTGTTCTAAAAGTAGGCTCTCCCTTTGCTGCTTTCATTCATAGTTATCTTTCAAAGGTTTTGTCCACCGCCCATTTTATTGTTTTCAGCCAATGGGCCTTCCATGGTGAAGCTATTGGGTATGTTTAGTCTATGAATTGCATACTGTTCTCTTTTTTACAACTGTCTCCACTTCCATTGCCTTCTTTTGTTGTTCCCTTGTGTCAAATTTTGTGTTATACGTTCTGCAGATCAGACAAGGTGCCCCACACTTTGGATGTATCTTATTTATAAATACGTTGGTTTCTGATAAAATGCATTGCAGAATGGCTCTGATAAAGGCCCAGTTTCAGCTTTGTCCTTTCTCTTGCTATCTCCCATCTTCATAATCATTTATATATCCAGATCTGAACAATGGCCAAGTCCTGCCTTGTCATTGCTTTGACAAGCTGCAGGCCTTCATTTACTGCAGAATCTCTCAGTGATCTTTTTTCTGTGTTATTGCAGTCCTTTTCATGTTCCCTTTGAACATACATCTTACCTTCAGACAACTCAGAATGACCAGCCTAATGTAATCTTTTGCTTTCATTGCAGTGACTGTGTCTGTCCCATTCCTAAAGGCTTCGTGTAATTTCTGCATTAGATTCAATTGTCTTGGACTTTTATTTATGGCATCCTATATCCTCACCACTTATTTGTTCATAACCTTTGTAGCACCTTTGTAGTTGTCTGAAAATGCAGTTTATGAAGATTGCTCTTCCGACAAGCTGTTTGTGTAAAATGGTTTTTGTATAATTATAGCCATGCTACAGTGTTCTTTTGTTGTAACTGTTTGCATTGGCATTTCTAAAGTTGCATATTTTTTTGCCACTGTGGAACATATGCCTAAATGCATCTGCAAAATGCTTTTTTCAGAGTGCATGGAGTAAGCCCTGCTTTGAATATTCAAAATCTAGAATTTAGTCTGACTATAAGAAAAGTTAAGTACACTTGGCTTCTGATGGCTTATTGAAGGGTAATAGATTGAGGTTGAAGAGAAGATTTGGCATAAAGATTTGTGTGGAATCTGGAATACCATGTAAGAAAGAACTCTGTACAGTTTCACACTTTTAAAAAATAGTTCAAATTGTGTAAATTGATGCCCTAGCCAGTGGTTCTCAACCTGTGGGTCCCCAGATGTTTTGGCCCTCAACTCCCAGAAATCCTAACAGTTTGTAAACTGGCTGGGATTTCTGGAAACTGTAGGCAAAAATGTCTGGAGACCCACAGGTTGAGAACTACTGCCTTAGACTGTACAGTTGGCCTTCTGCATCCAGAGATTTGCACCCACAGATTCAATCATCCATAACTTCAATGTATTCAAAAAAACACAAATTCAAAAATTTGTCATTTTATATAAGTGACACAATTTTCCTCTGCTATTGTATATAATTGGATTTGAGCATCCACAGATTTTGATATCCCAGACGATTTTGAGGTCCAGACGATACCAAGGGCCCACTTGCAGTCCAGTTCACAGTGTGTTTTCTCCAATCAAAACAGGTATTAGGAAGAAAATATGGCTGGTTTGGTTGCTTGATCTGGTTTCAACTGTAGACTGAAGTAATGAATCACTAAACGTTACCTTATCAATTAGCGTAGGGATTTTAACCTCTGCAATGAAAAAATGTTATACAATTCACCAATTTCCTTTTCCTTTCCTTTAAACAGTGGACAGGCAGGTTTCCTTCCAGGACAAGTATGTTTTCTACCAGTTCTCAGCTGATGAGTGTACATATCTTTTCTGTGAATATGAAGGAGAAGATGGATGGAAAAATGGTGTCAAACTTTTACTGCAGCTGGTGCCTGTTATTCCTACAAGGATTAACACGTGTAATTTGTAAGTACATCTGTTGTAATCACTATTACTGAATGTTCTTCAGATAACATCCACCTACCTTTGTTCCTTATGTAGTTTAAAAAATTGGCAGTTGCTTGTGAAACTTATTCATTTAATATACCATTCATTTTGTAGGAGGAATGGTGCTATTGTTTCTTATCCAAATCAGACTGGAAAGAAAGGACTGTACCCATATTATCTGCAGGGAGCAGAATTCATGAAAGCCTACTGTATATATTTGAGCAAAAATGATACCTTGGAACGTTCACAAATGAAAAACCAAGGGCTTGAGTACACAATGTTTATACAGTGCACAAACAGGCAAAGATGGAATTGGAAAGAAATTTCATGATCTAACAACAGGAGCAGCTCAGCAATTGATAGAAAAGATTCTCTCAGCTACTGTAACTTTTGAAGTTCATATAGGGAGAATATGGCTGTGACATATATAAGGCCTTCGAAGAGAGGCTTATCAAGGCAGGGGGGAACAATCAAAGAAATCCCACCGCTGCCACCAATTATAAAGGTCTTTGAAGTGGCCGTCTGGACAGGGGGCTTAAGGAATCCCACCACCGTCCTTCCTTCAATAAGGAAATTCACACCTCTTCGGCTTTTCTAGGGTTTGAGGGGATGTCACATTGTGTAAAACCTTCGCTGCCACCATAAAAATAAAGACACACAAACTCTCTAGCTATTTAAAATGTTATCAGGCTGTTTAAATTATTAAAAAGCTTTTTACTCCACCCAAATACTGTTAATTATCAAGGGCTTTCTTTGAGGGGACAACAGGAGAGGTTGATTCCCAACTGCCTAACTCCGCCCCTCTTTCTCAAACCAATCCTGGCTGTTGCTGGGCTGGCACAGGCCTCGGCCACTCCCCCTCTCTGAACTGGAGCTTTTCCCTAAACTAAGATGGCTCCAGCAGCTCTCTGCCAGGCCTTCTAGCTGAAACTACCTAGCCTGTCTCTTCCTGGGCCCTGCCACCCTGGCTGGCAAGGTAAGGGATCTTTACATTCCCTCCCCACCTCAAGATGGTTTGCGGAGTGAAAAGGTTTGCAGACCTTTTCGGAAGCAAAGCCTAACACTATACTAGGCCCAACTAACCCCCTTTACCATCTAATCCTAGCTAACCTATCTATGTACATACTTACATTTGCAATAAAAACACCTTATGCAATAAAACATTTATGCAACAAATACATTTTGCAATCAATATATATCATAAATGCATTATACACAATAAATACCTTCCTGTAAGAAAAAAACATGTTAAATACATTATAACATTGCATATAATCAATCTAACACAGTAAATACTATACCTTTTCCATGGAATGCCTCCTGACATTCTATATACATATAATCTCTATACTCTTACCCACATATATACATTAAGCTTTTAATATCATCTATATTCTTATCTATAAATATCAATATTTTATTATCAACAATAATCCCATACTTATGAACAAGTTTAAATAATCTGGAGAGATTTAAGTCTCTATATCCAAACACAAATGATTTCATTAATAAGAGACTTTCTGTCTGCTATAAGGTTATAACACAGTAGAAGGAATTTCTCTTCTAATCTAATAAACAGTCTATTTCAAACATCTCCATATTTACATCTAATTACATTTTGTCTATTAACAAAACCTACATATCTAACACACTTTACAAGAATATATCTATACATCATACCTATTGTATGAAACATATACATTTCACCACTTGTAATAACACTATATACTTTACAAGACTGCAATTGACCAGATTAACCAATTCTTAGATAATACACTATCCTATACCTACATTATCTTTCTATATTAACACTTACATTATCTAATGAGTTATTTTGGCCTGGCCCTTGTAGATAATAAAGTCGTTTGTTCTTTTTTCCCTTCACCCAATTCCAATTCTCCTTCCCCTACTACTCAGTTTTACATTACAACCGGCCAGTCCACTTGTTATAGTATTACACTCGTTTGTAGTCTTTGACCCTATCAAATAAGGTTCCTCCCAAGAAACCTCCAGTTTCTTTTTAGATCTTGGTTCTAAAACCAGGACCTTATCTCCCAC